ACGAATGTAGACGCACACAACGACACAACGCCTACTGAAAAATGGGTTGGAGTTGTGGAGTTTCAAGATTGACGAAGTCACCACGGGCACTCCACTATCGACAGAAATGTCACCTCCTACTGAAACAATAGTTTGCATTAATGAGACACCAAAGCATCAGCTGAGATTTGATTGCTGGTGGGCTAGGGATACCACCACCCTCCTAACCATATATCCACTGGTTGGTTCTCTAAAGAAAGTGTGTTGAAACTATTTAAAATCGAGGATATAATTCATTTCCACTACACAGTAATAGTCTGTTGTGAGGTCCGAAGTAGGCGCCGATCACCGCTTTACTAGTTCAAGATATCGTGAAGTGTAGAAACCCTACATGCTAATTATTGTAGGTACTCCCTCCGTTCCAAAATTATTGTAGTGGTTTTGGTTTAAAATTTGAACTAAAACCACGACAATAGTTTTGGAACAGAGGGAGTAATATTCATCTGTCTAACTGTTCCTAACTTGAGTTGCCATATAAGCACCCAAGGTTCACTTACAGTTTATTAAACTACAATGGTAACTAAACAGTAGTTTGCCATGATACAGTTCTTACCGTGTTTATCGTACATGTGAGCAAGAAAATATTTAAGAGCGTCATAACACAACATCATAATAGAAGCAAAATTACAGAGCTAGCAATTCCTGTCCTTCACTAATTTATCCATGCAAAATTACAGAGTTAGCAATTCCTGTCCATAAATACATGTAGCTGCATGCCTCAATCCACCCCGCACAACCTTATAAAAGATGTCCCTAAAATACAAGCAAAATTATAGAGCTAGCTATATATTCCTGTCCATAAAATACGTCTATGCGTCCATCCACATACTTCATGGAGAAATACACTGCAATATCTGCCGAGCCATTCACAACACTAGAGTGAACGCTGTCACTATGCTTTCAGAATTCCTTTGCCCTAGTACACTTCAAGCCTAGGTTCAGGGGTGCTCAGTTTTTTCACGAACTTTCAGAAACATTGCATGCCAATGCATTAGTAAAACTGAACGAAAATGACTCTTTGTACAACTTTGGGGCTGGCCGGCGTTCAACCATACAAGCAAACGGGCTCTCCGAACAGACAGCATGATCACGATGGTCGATGGACCATAAGAAAATGAGAGCATAAGTTGCCATCACGAAGAGCGACCTCTGACTAAGTAACGCCCAAGTATTCATCGTTCTCATTTCTCATGGAGCAACACACAGGCTACATCCAGGACATGAAGCAAGCGGGCAGATCAAACCATTTCCCCAAAGATCCTTGTAATTTACACCATGATGTTACAATTTGAACCACCCATTATGTGTGCAGTTCACCGCAGTTGCCTTGATATATGGCTACAACTCGCAGCTAGCGAGCGCCAACGCCTCACTTGCCGGGGACAAAGTTTGTGGCAAACGCCCATGCGTTGTTGTTGACAGGGTCGGAGAGGTGGTCAGCGAGGTTCTCGAGTGGGCCCTTGCCGGTGACGATGGCCTGCACGAAGAAGCCAAACATAGAGAACATGGCGAGGCGACCGTTCTTGACTTCCTTCACCTTGAGCTCCGCGAATGCCTCTGGATCGTCAGCCAAGCCCAGTGGGTCGAAGCTGCCCCCGGGGTAGAGTGGGTCGACTACCTCACCGAGTGGGCCGCCAGCAATGCGGTACCCCTCAACAGCGCCCATGAGCACGACTTGGCATGCCCAGATAGCAAGGATGCTTTGTGCGTGCACGAGGCTGGGGTTGCCCAGGTAGTCGAGGCCACCCTCACTGAAGATCTGGGAACCGGCCTTGAACCATACCGCCTCGCCGAACTTGACGCCGTTGCGTGCAAGAAGCTCGGGGAAGACGCATCCAAGCGCACCGAGCATGGCCCACCGGCAGTGGATCACCTCGAGCTCCCGGTTCTTGGCAAAGGTCTCGGGGTCGGCCGAGAGCCCGGCGGTGTCCCATCCGTAGTCGCCGGGGAACTCGCCGGTCAAGTAGCTCGGGGGCTCTCCGGAAAGCGGGCCGAGGTAGAGCACACGGTCGGCACCGTACCATGGGCTGCCTGATGAAACCGGCTTGGCCTTTGCAGCGGTCTTGCGCATAGTGACACGGGCCTCACCAAAGAGAGCTGATGAAGCCACGTTCTTCACCGACTTGCCGGCGAAGGTCGAGGAGAGGGACATGGTGGTGGTCGCCATTGCGCTGCTAAGGTGGGAGGTGTATTGTGTGTTCTCCAAACAATGAAAACTGAAGAGTGTGGAGATGGTTTGAGACGTGTGGAGGATGGAGCTATTTAAGGAACTGGAGCTAACATAGGGGATTGTGCTCTGGTCTGTGTGTGTGTGTGTGTACCGACAAGATAGATATAGACAGGGAAAAAATCGTGATCTTCGATGCTATTGGTGCAGCAGGGATCTCGTCATCCCTCAGGACGTGGCAACTTGAGACCCAGAGAAAGGAGATATGTTGTGGCTAGGCCTAGGGATCTTGTTGGAGAATGGAGATCGTGTGATTGGATGATGGATCACATGTTGATTCTCACATCATCAGCTAGCTCACGGTCTGCATGCAACGTGGCAGTAAACTTGTCTCTGATGAAGTAGGCGGCGCAAGTGTGGTCAAGAAAGTGATGGCAATTTTAGGCCATACGATCATTATTTATTTCTTTATTACTTTCTTTGCTGGTGAACTATACATGAAAGCCTCAACATCCGAGAATACGCCATGTAAAAATAAAAGTTCGCCTCTTTTACTCCTACTAGAATAAAGGCATTACCAAAATGAGCCACGTCTTGAAAAACAAGAACATGTTAAGTGTGATTTTTTTAACTAAAGAGTAAATAACACCAAAGGCAAACACAAACTTGTCCACAGAGAGCATCAATTGCCACAGCGTTATTTTGACATCTTAGAGCATCACTAACTGAATTCTCAAAAACGCTTAACTCTTCAAAGGATTTCATGTTAAGGAGTTAAGTTGTAGCTAACCAAACCCTCAAACGGTTAACTCAAAAGTTTAAGAAGTTAAGCCTCGAAAGTTTCCCAATTAGCGTAAATTTGAGCGCCTCAAAGTTTCAACAAAAGATTCTCGTTGCTCCTCTCGTGCCCGCGGCGCCCCCTCTTCCTGCCCCCGCCACTGCAGGCACCAGATAGCCACTGCAGGCCCGGACACCCCAATTGCATCGGGAATGGAACCACCCACCACCTTTGCACCATAGGCGACTCCTCCCGCCAGCGTTACACCACCAGCGTAAATGAATGCGGCAAGGATATGGCTCGGAACGAAGACCACCATGCTCTTTGTCACGCCGTCCACGAAGGTCGGCCGCAAGGCTACGCCGTCACAAAGACAACCGGCCCCCCTTTAGTTGCTTCAGCCAACGGCAAGCGGATGAAGAAGCCAGGCGGGCAAGGCCCTCGATAAGGTGACAACAAAGAAGAGGGATAAGTCATCAACTTCGTAGTCATTGGGGAATCAGAGTGGCCGGGGAACGGTGGCGGTGGTTCCATCCCAATCGTCCTATGCTACTACAAGAGGAGGTTGGGGCGGAGGGAGTCGTCGTGGGGTTCGGATTGTTAGTGTCATTGTCGCCTTAGATGGGGGAGAGCAGAGAAGTCGCTCTCGAGCCATCGCCTTTGCATCCGCATGGGAACCACGCAAACACTCATCATCCCTAGCTACCTAATGGGTCGGTCCCTTAGGCCGAATACTCCAATCAACCAATATACTGTGTTTCAGCCGCCAGAGTAGCGTCTCCTTAGGAGAGCCAGCCCACGAAACACAAACGAGGCGCCTAGATCAGATAGACGGCCAGATCAGAAAAATGTACGGTACAAGTGTCTGAAGGCGTGAGAGACTAGGGATTAGGTTCAGTTTTACCGTCCTAAATTCCAACTAAAAATAAGAATAATTAGCCTCAAAAAGAGTTACTTTTGTGTACCAAATTGTGTCATCCACTACATAGACAACAACTGAAAGGCCGTCTACTAGACAACCACAGGTACCGGCCCATCATGGCGAAGCCGACCGCATGCAACCGCCAAGGCTATATATCGCCCTTTACTGATTTCTAATAAGAATCACCAATGGGCGGGCGTTAGCAGGCCCGCCCAACATTATAGCGTGGCACACGGTTTTTCTTTCTTTTGGTTTTCCACTGTTTGTAGGTTGTTTTCCTCAAGTTTTCTATAGCGCTTTTTTCGGTTTTTGGTTTCACTTTCATTTTTTCTTTGGTTTTTTGGTCTCTTCATCTGTTTTTTCTTTTACCTTTCTATTTTTTTTCCTCGTTTTTTCCGTGTTACTTTCTTGGTTTTTTGTTTCTTTCTCTAGGTTTCACTGAGTTTCTCTGACTTTTTTTTGCTTTTGCCTTCTTTTCATTTTTCTTTTTTTCAACACATGTCTACATTTTTCATATGCATTGTATATTTTTCGTATACATTAGGAATATTGTTTTACACACGTTTAAAATCTTTCCAGTGCATAATTAACATTATTTTAATATATATTTTGATTTCTAGTTTTTTTTCATACACATTGTACACTTTTCGTTTATACATCTAAAATTGATTATATATAAATGTTTCACATTTTCAAATACATGTTTAATATTTTTACAAAATCATGTTTTGAACATTTTTAGTACATGTTAAATATTTGCTATGTACACGTTGGATTTTTTAATGATAAACAATTTTCCTGAATTAAGCAAACATTTTTTTACATTGTACAAACCTTCTTTTTTGAAAATGTCACGAACACATTTATGAAACTTGTGAACATTTTTCTAAATGTAGCATACATTTTTTATCACCAATCATTCTTTTTTAATAATACAGACATTTTTTACAATGTATAAACATTTTCTATACACGTTTTTCATTTTTCAAATACAAGATTAACCTTTTAAAAAATTATGTAAAGTATTTTCGTAATATATATATAGCAAAATGTGATTAAAACGGAAGTGGAAAAACGACATGACATTAGCATGATGATGGGACGCGGTTACTGGGTCGGGCCAATACCTGCTGTAGGCGAGCTGTGGACCGTGGTAGGACTCGCAGGGGTTTCCTTCGCCCTTCAGGCTTCAGAGAGACTAGTACGGTTCCTAGCCAAGTGTCAAAAAAATAATATTAGGGTTCCTAGCCGCCGCCGTCCCGCCGCCATTACTGCCGGCCGTCCGCCGCGGAGCGCCCAGCCGGCCGAAGAAGCCTCCGCTGCCTCGACGTCGGTACAGGATCCCAGCAGCGCCTCCCTCCGTCGAGCAGCTGCTCCCACTAGCAGCGCCTCCCTCCCTGGAGCAGCCGACCCCGCCCAGCAGCGCCACCGCCCGGAGCTACGCGGGCGACCAGTCCATAGGCAGGTAGCCACCACTCCTTCGTCGTCCCTCCTCCCCCCCTCTTCCCTCACCCACCCTCTCCTTCCTCTTGCATCCTCTGTCTGTTCAATTTTTGTTCCTGATTTTTGTATGGGATGAGTACTTGCTGTAGGTTGGATATTGTGCGAATATAATGATGACTATTTCTTGATGAGTGCTTGCCGCATGATTTTTCCAGTGCACGTTCGAGTTTACATGTGGATGGATTTTGCTTGGAATGTGTTTGTGATAATGCTTGTAGGGGCAAATGTTTACAAATTGTAGTTCGTTTTTTTTCAGATGAGCAAATGTTTTGGTTTGAACATGATAGCTGTGAAACTTCAGTGAATGATGATATATGAAAAGGAAAGGATTAAGTTGTTTTATGTGCACGGTCTTGACCTGAAATCAAAGCTTAGCAGTTACATGCAATTCGAGAGACTAGGGTGCCGGAATGAGTCTAGATTGGTTTTCGGTGGCTATGGAGGCTTCTGGCGGCGGAACTCCCGATATATTGTGCTCCCCGAAGTTTTTAGGGTATATGGGTATATATAGGAGGAAGAAATACGTCAGGAGGGCACGAGGGGCCCCCGAGGGTGGAGGGCGCGCCCAGGGGGGAGGGGCGCCCCCTACCTCGTGTCGTCCTTGTTGCTTCCCTTACGTACACCCCAAGTCTTCTGGATTGATTTCGTTCCAAAAATAAGTTATGTGAAGTTTCAGGTCAATTGGACTTCGTTTGATTTTCCTTTTCTGCGATACTCTAAAAGAAGGAAAAACATAAACTGGCGCTGGGCTCTGGGTTAATAGGTTAGTCCCAATAATAATATAAAAGTGCATAATAAAGCCCATAAACATCCAAAATAGATAATATAATAGCATGGAACAATCAAAAATTATAGATACGTTGGAGACGTATCACCTGGCGACGAGTTCTGGCTCTAAGGCCAGAGCGGAGGTTGGGGTCGTGAATCCTTGGAAGATCAAGTCTCCTCGGATGTCAGCGACATAATCCAAGTTTCCAAAACTAATCTGGTGACCTGGGGTGTAGCTGTCGATCTGCTCTAGATGGCTAAGCGAGTTGGCCCGCAACGCGAAGCCGCCGAACACAAAGATCTGACCGGGGAGGAAAACCTCCCCCAGGGCAGCATTGTTGTAGATTATTTATGAAGACATCGAACCTTCTGGTGATGACACAGCGGAACTCTCAATGAAAGCACCAATGTCGGTGTCAAAACTGGCGGATCTCTGGTAGGGGGTCCCAAACTATGCGTCTAGGGTCGATGGTAACAGGAAACAGGGGACACGATGTTTACCCCGGTTCAGGCCCTCTTTATGGAGGTAATACCCTATGTCCTTCTTGATTGATCTTGATGAGTATGAGGATTACAAGAGTTGATCTACCACGAGATCGTTGTGGCTAAACCCTAGAAGTCTAGCCTGTATGATTATGATTATGATTGCCTCTACGGACTAAATCCTCCGGTTTATATAGACACCGGAGGGGCCTAGGGTTGTACAGAGTCAGTTTACAAAGGAAGGAATCTACATATCCGAACGCCAAGCTTGCCATCCACGCAAAGAAGAGTCCCATCCAGACACGGAGAGAGGTCTTCTGTCTTGTATCTTCATAGCCTATTAGTCCGGCCCATGTTACATAGTCCGGACGCCCGTGGACCCCTTAATCCAGGACTCCCTCAGTCCTTGCTGCTCCTACTTGCAATTATTATGAGAGAGGAACTACATCTCCGCCTCTTTATGTTTCCAACATGATAGAATTGCAAGAAACTGTTTATGCTATGTATTGGCCTTTACTTGATTGCATGAATTGTTCTTGTATGACA